AATACTTTGGAGGGGTGATAAACTTTCATCTTTACAATTTTCTTTAGATGTCTGTCATTTGTGTGTTCTTTGTTGCCTCATTAAAACCTTTCATGGAAAAACCCAATGGGATAAAAAACCATGATAAGGAAAAAGAGTACAACCACACACATCATCATATTTCTCCCCCTTGGAAGTATCTTCTTCTGGAGATGCATTCCAATCATATATACCATCTTTTGGCAATCATTATAAGTATAAGCTTAATGAATAAACTCATATGATTATCTTATAATCTCTTAGGTTATTGGACTTCTTGTCCATAACAACTTTTTCATATAAACAACCATTTCTTGGTCTTTTGAACTTCAAGTCCAAACTTCAATTTACTTAAAACATTCTAAAATTGTATAGAAACATACCTATACATAAGATGTTATTCATGCTCTTCTTTACTATTTTAGTTTTCTTTCTTGTTATACTAAATCATATCTTTCAATCATGAAATAGATAAATACATTGCTCGACTAGCAATTTAAGTATTATTTAGGATCAAAAATATTGTGAGCATTCTTTATGTAAAATCCTATAAGGATCATTTGAGAAAGTATCTCTATCACTTAGATATCTCAATTTGGAACACTTTAAGACAATGTTGTCTTTTCCAAAGATTTTTCTTCCAAATTACAACTTGAGATAACTCTTCAAGAGATTTGATTATATTCAAATCTAGGATCCTCTTGATCCATAATCTTTTGATAAATACACATGGGTGTATTGGTTAACCTTATAATATTCACTTATACCACATAAAACGTTTTTGTCTTAATTCGATCGAATAATTATAATCTTCAGGAACGTAATTTTGACAATCTTAATTCTTTGGGAATTTGTATCCTTCTGGGATTTTATTTAAGTTTCATTATCCAGTGGGTAGTATAAGTCAAGTTCTTCTCTTATTGCCAGACTGATAAGGAACTTGAAAGTAGTTGCATTCACCACAGAAGAGTTTGTCTCTTCTTATTTAATTTTATATTTATCATTCTTTCATATAAAGTCTTCTTTATATCCCACTGGTTTTATACCCTTAGGTGTATGGACAACTGATCCAAATACTCATCTCTTTTCCAGAGATTTTAACTGTATGACATTGCTTCTTTATAATTTGGCCAATCATATCTTTGTGTACACTTTGCAATAGATTTGATGATCCTCTTTCTTATTGATCATATCAACTGCTATATTGCATGCAAAAATATTTACGACGTCGATTTGCTTTTCGATTCTATTTTATTCTAAACATGACATAATTTGTTGAGATCGATCTCTTTATTGTCTCAGGTATCTGAATTTCTTTCTTGTCATGTTTAATGTCTCTTCTTGAGATCATTTAAAATCTATCTCCTCAGTCCGACCATTGTCATATTCTGCTCCTTTTCTTTTCTGAGGATATTTATGTTTAAAGTCAATAAGTCTATCACGCTTCATGTGTTCTTTAAACTCTTTAGCAGCTTGATATTTTCCTTCTGGAACGTTAAATTTTATTGGAGCCTTTATAGCTGGTATGTGATCTTGTCACTCTATTTGGATCAGTAAATGTTTCTGGCAACTGATTTACTAAACTTTGTAAATGAATTATCTTTTGGACTTTATTTCACATTCATTAGTTCGAGGATCAATGATAATTCATTCCAACTGATCTTTTCCAGCTGTTTCTTTTCTCCCCCTGATGTTGGAATTACTGGAATGACAGTCTACAGATCAAGCCTAATATAAATCGTTCATGGATGGACTCTACATACTTAATTATCAAAGGAGATTTATATCCAACATATATATTCAACCTCATTTGAGGATCCATCTTATAACATTGTGGTGGAGCAATGTGAATATATATTGCACATCCAAATCATTTAGATGGAAAATATTTGGTTTCTGACCTAAATCCAGATTTGATGGGAGAACTTTGATTACTTGTTGGCTTTATATGAATTAATACTTCTGGATTTTGCGTATGAACATTTGCTATTGGATGTTCAATATTTATCTTTATGCTTTTATTATCAAAGGCTTAAGACGCGAATTCACTAACATTACCAAGAGGTTTAGCAAACTTCAAGTTGCAGATATTCAATACAATAAATTACTTAACCATAAACTTTTCCTTGTAAACTTTCTAGGAAATGAAATATCAAATCCATTTTGGCTAGTGAAAGTCATAATATCATATTTGTCATATGATTAAATGATTAGGAAGAATCTTCAAGTTCTTCAATGAATGCCTACATGACTTATTAATGATTTTTGCATATTTCTTGAACTGGAATGGTCTAACAGCTCATGCCAAACTATGTTATATTCGTTAAACTTCTGGTTTACTAAAGAACATTTATCTCCATTATACAATCTTTATGTATTACAATATATTAAGGAGTGCATGTAATTTATCCACTACTTTTACTGCATTTAGTAATACTCTAGATTTGAAAGTATTAAAATTTTCTTTCTTTATTGTCTAAACTTGATTAACTTTGAAATCCCTTGGAGTTGCTTTATAAATGATTCATCAAGATTATTTAGACTTTGAACATAATCTTCTAGATGTTTTAGTTACTATGTCTTAGGGATTCTTCGATAATTCTTTACCAATGATTTAGGTTCATCTTTAATGTGAACATAATCTTCTAGATGTTTCACTTACTATTGATTGTGGGATTCATCAATTCTCCTCCTCAAGATGATGACAATTCAGGTTCATCTATCTTGAATTGAATCCCAATCTAGAATCAATAAGATATACAACTTGGATCAAGTCTTATATCTCTGATTCTTATAACCATGTGAGATATAATGCATCAATGATTGCAAATATATCTACTCTTCCCGCATCTATCAGATCTTGTACTCACACTAGTTTATTTCATCTTTAGACTAGAGAAATGTCTCTTGTGTACCATCTTTGTTTTCTTACTTCTTGTAAGAATTTGAGTTCTGAAAGAAAACTTTTGATCTAGACTTTGGCCATATCCACATCATGACCACTTCTTGAGCCAGTTCCTTGGCTAGTTTTATTGACATGATTATTTTCTGTCTACACATATATATAAATAAAAGCATTATTTAGCAAAATCAATGGCATGTACTATCTCTATTATCACTTCGGGTGACAATTTAAGTTTTAAAAGAACTTTAAAGAAGAAATAATTTAAAAATACTTCTCAAATATCTCTATGTTATGATGTCTGCAAGACAACAATATTTGTGTGATGTATTCTAATTAGTGGTATTATCTCCATTTATAGACTTTAAGTCATATGGTATTTAGATAACAAGTTAGGCCATATCACATTCTGGTAATCAAGCATTTTCTTTAAATTGCTCTATGGTCAATAATTTGATCTTAAAATCATCAAAGATACGATGACACATAAATGCAATCATATAAGATATGATATATATATATATATATCATATATATGATATGCCATAAAATAATTCATTCAATCAATCATCAAAAGAGATCAGATGATAAAACATGTGCAAATTTCGTGATCATGAGAATAAACAAGTTTTGATGTAACAGTGAAAATCTCGTGAGAACATACAAGCATGATGCAATAGTTCTGTGCAAAAACCGGGATATATGTACAAAATTCGTGTAAAATTCGGATAATCATATATGTGCAAACTCCGGGTTAACATTGAAAACAGAAACTAATGCAGATTTTAAAACAGAAATCTAGACATAATAAAATCCGTGCAAAGTTCGTGTAAAAAACGATTATGTGCATAAATAATATGGAAATATTCGATTTAATGAATCTATGCAGAAGCAGTATGGGGAGATATTCGATTTTAATGAATAAGAGTCAGTTTAGCAAATTTCGTGTAAATCATGTGCAGAAATAATATAAACAATATTCAGTTTAATATATTTCGTGCAAACTATGTGCAAAAACGGAATAAAATATTTGATATGCAAATCATGTAGAAATAATAAATTTGATTTCATGAATAAGAATAAATATTATGCAAAAATATATTAGTATAAACATGTAATTTGAATCTCTACTGAAGAATTTATCATAATATCATTTATAAAAATAATAATAATAATAATAATAATAAAAATAAAAATTATATGATTTAAATCCCTGTAAGAAAATTTATCATAATATCAATCATAAATATAATAAAATAAACATGTAAGTTGAATCTCTACCAGAGAATTCAACATAATATTGATCATATAAATCTATCCAAGAGAATTTATCATAATATTGATTATTGATCTTGTAAAAAATTTTCAAGAGAATTTATTATAATATTGATCATGTAAAAAGAAAAAAAAATAAAAATTAATTACATAAACATATGATTTGAATCTCTGCAGGAGACTATCATAATATTGATTAATGATCCATTCTTACAAACCATGAGTTGATAATAAACATGATTTGAAGTTGGAATGAATAAATCCTAAGAAGCAGATTTGTATACCTCTTAGCTCAGACAGCTAGAGTTTCGTGCTGATAACGTGTTGTGAATAGAGAGAAGAGATAGAATAAATTAGTGTTGTATTATTCCAATGAATAAGTGATCTTTTATATAGGAGTACAAAGAGAGGATTTTACTTGGTGACAAAATAAAACCTAACTTACAAGTAACTCTAGAACCTTCTAGAAGGTAAGCTTTATGAGTTTATAATGGACATCATATAATAGTTCATAACATTAATCTTCTTTTTAATTTAAGAGATTTTTTTAGAGATTTTGATGAAGATGCTCAAATATCTTATATGAGATACATCTCTTCCCGCTCTCATACTTTTCAATTTTTTTTAATATTTTAATTTGAAGATATTTCTTGAGAAACACTCGATGGTGTGCACACATTTTTATCCTGAAATACTTATTGCAGATGTACATCAAACGCATTAGTACTTAGGAATCTAATCCACTAAAGATTGAAAGATTACTCTATAAATCTTGGAAACAAAAATTAAGCTATCACAAGATAAACGGGTTGCTATTGTCACTGCAAATTCACAAATGAAATCAATAAGAAAACAATAGAACCAAACTCAAATCAACTAAAGCATTATTAGGTAGGCGTTGAAGATCAATGGTTCACATATCAATTTATTTAGGCGTTTAGGCAGATAATTCAGTGGAGTTTTCCAAACTCAATTTCTCTCAATGTTTTAACCAACTATACTCTCGCAATGATAATTAACAATGTCTAACAGTTTATAACTCTCTTAAGACTAACTACTGAAGAGGCAAATATAGCTCAAGATCCAAAAAGCTTAATGTTCTTCATCATTTTTGTCCAAAGAAGAAGATAAGAAGCTCAAGATGAAACCATCCAAGTCCCCTTCAAGAACCGAGTCAGGATCAGAGACTTCGTAGTTTGTTCTCAGATCCTTCACCATTCTGTATGGCTACAAAAAAAACAAAACAAAAAAAAACCAATGAATAATCAGGTCGTTTTCAGCTGATAAAACACAAAGAAATCGGTATTACGTACATGGAGAACATAAGTTCTTATCTGGTTTCCCCAGCTAATCTCGGTTAGTGATTGTGTATGTTGAGCGTTCATTGCTGTCTGACGAGCCATCTCAAGTTGGTCTAACCGTGACTGTAGTACTGCCATTGCTGAAGCCTTGTTCATATGTTGCGACCTGCATACCAATATCAAAACGATACATAAAAACCAAAATGAACCAAACCAAAAACCAAATACAACCTTTTTAAAACCGAATAGTAATTTATACAAACAAACAAAACCGATATGAAATTTGGTCTAACCAGCTTAGTAAACCAAAATTTACTAAAACTAATATATAGATAGATACGAAGTACGAACCATATACATTGTACATAGAACTAATTATCTATCAGGACCGAAATTTGTTGAACCGAATCAAAATCAAGTCGGTCCTACATTTAGGGATGGGCATTTGGTTATTCGATTCTATTTGGTTTGATTTATTCTGATCTCGGTTTTTTTGGTTTTAGAAAATAGGCATCACTCGAGATCAAACTAATAGTTCAATTTGGTTCTTGGGTTTCCGGTTTCTGGATGTAGAAAATAAATCTAATTCGAGATCAAGTTATATTTCTGTAACGTTTGATTCGATTTTAGAAAACAAAAATTATGATGAAGAAAACAAAAAAAAAATTAACTCTTGTTCGGTTTTAGACAAAAAAATTAAAATAAAAACAAAAATATACTAAGTGGTGTTTATTAAGATTGTAGATTTTAAAAATATACAAGGATCATTTTTCTTTTTTTTTCAAAAAAAAAATTATTTTAGAAAATGTTGGTTTTGTAAATAGAACTTTAAAATCTACAACATTGTAGCCAAAATAGTTAATCTACAAATAATACTACGATGTAGGAGTGGGCATATTAAACCAAACCCGAAAAACCGAACCGAACTGACCCGAAGAAATCCGAACCAAACCCGACCCGATACTGCTGAAATAACCGAATAGATTTTAGATTGATTTTGGTTCGGGTAACGGTTCGGGTTCGGATATATCCGAAATCCGATTATACATCCAAAGCAACTGAAGTCGATGATCGATCTATGGAAAACACGATTCTCTGTTCTTCGACTTTCCCGTTCTTGTTAGAGATATTCTCGGCTTAATTCTTAATTTTTAAATCCTAAATTCAATCTGGAATCCCTAAACCACCAATTTTTTGTTTCTCCTCCTTCTGAGACATCGCGAACTCAATCTCAGGTACACCATCTTCTTCTTCATCTTCTTTTTGTGATTTGCAATTTTTAATAGTCTTTGATCTTCTTCGTCTTCTTCTGCTTATGATTGTGATTTACTGATTTTCATAACTGTTTTGGAGTTTGAATTTGACATGCAAAGGTCGTTCTGTGTGTTTCCTTCTTCATCCCCTGTTTTCTTACTTATTGTGATTTACTGATCTTCTTCGTTTCGAAGTGTTAATTTGTAGCTCAAAAATTATTTTGTGTGTTTGAACCATGCATCTTTTAAGTGTTTGTTCTGATAAGCATTCTGATGCATATGCTTATTATAGGATCTAGTCTCGTACCATATAGTAATAAGAGTTACTCCAACGTACATATGATTCCGTTAGCTTAGCTAAAAGCTTAATTACTCCTAACTATGGTTTTTTTAAGGAGATTGTAATTTAGCTTTTGGCTTTTTCTTTACATTGGCTTTCTTTACATTGGCTGGACATAGGATTAGGAATCAGAGGTTTTTTTTCAAAATAAAAGCTTGTTAGATTCCACGCTTGCCAAAGGATCAGAGAAGTTTCAGTTTCTTAATTTTCAAAAGTATTTTGTGTTTACAAGTAATGATCTTATATGCATTCATATACATATATTCATATACATAACTGAATGATCGGTCATGGTATTGTTCTCTTTTGGTATTAGTTATTTTATATATTAAACTGAAATATAGTCTCGTTAAATTCACTTTCGCTGCGATTTAGTTTTGTAAGCAAATCTATTTGATAGTTATAAATTCCGAACCTAATGAAATTTGATCTCTCTAAGACTTCTGATACTCGAATGATTTATAGTGTCTTTGACGGATGAATGATCTAATTGTCTTTGACGGATGAATGATTATTTGGATATATGACTTTTAGTGTTGTTCCATTTAAAACCTTGTTAGCTTCTTGTTACATTTGTGATTTTTAGCTTCTTCTTATTTTTCGTTGATAATAATATTCACTATTTGCTATGTACAGATGGGTTCTTCTTCATCTCCAATTCCAGAGAAAACTCAAAATGATGCTCATGATGGTGAAGAAGAGAACACTCAACGTGATGGTCGAAACAAAAGAAAGCAAGCACCGGATGGAAACCAAGCTTCTTCTCAGCCACCACAGAAGATACTTGAACCAAGGTCTGATGTTTGGAAGGTCTTCACAAGGACGAAAGATGATCGTGACAAGTGCACATGTAATTACTGTAAGAAGACTTATTCATGCCCAACAAAATCAGGTACTTCGAACCTCTTAAAGCACATGACAATCTGCAAACAGTACTTGGCAAGTGAAGATGATAGTCAACATGTTATTGATGAAGAGACTGGAAATGCAAAGAGCTCCAAAGTATCTGAGGCTATATTCAAAGAGGCTACATATGAGATGATAGTGATAGGAGAGTTGCCACTTTCGTTTGTTGAAAGTATGGCTTGGAAACACTTTTGTAGCAAGGTGCAACTATACAAGCCTCATTCAAGAAGAACAACTGCCAGAAACATTGTTGAGATGTATGTGCAGAGGAAACAATCTATGAAAGAGTGGTTTCAAGCTATGAAGCAAAGAGTCTCTCTTACAACAGACATATGGACATGTCAACCAACAGGTCTCGTTTTTTTTTCACATTTACTCTATTTGGTTCAGTTTGTGTAAGCGAGTTCTAAGTTTGTTTGAAGCTTATTTACTTTTCTGTTTTTGAATCACCAGTTTGTAACTATGAATTGTGAGACTTGTGATTTAATAAAGAGAAGTTTTCTCAGCTTTATCCTTTGAACTTATGATCTTCTTGTGTCTGTTTATAAGTTTTTCTATAACTTGCAAGTCTATAAGTTTGTGATTGTGAAACTTATGATCGTTCCAAGTGTATAAGTTATAAACTTGCGAGTCTTAACTTAGTTTATTTTTTTTTTAAACTAATTAACTTGTTTCCTATCCTATGAATGCATGTATATATATATAATAAGGTGATAAATTCGAATTATCATTTTCATATGAATGCATGTTTATTTTAAAATTTTTGTTCCATTTTTATTTATTTGTTGTTGCCTTTTAAAGTTACATTACTTTTACTTGGCAAGCCTATAAGTTTGTGTTTACTATGATTTTCCTGTTCTATTTTGATGATTCTGATGTATTATTTGATTTGTTTTAACAAGTGCAAGTTACATGATCATCACATGTCATTACATTGATGAGTATTGGAAATTGCAGAAGCTCATTATTGGGTTCAAGAATGTTGATGATCATAAAGGTACCACAATCTCAAATGTACTTCTAGAGTGTTTAGCAGATTGGGGTATAGAGAAGGTCTTTATCATTACTATTGACAATGCAACTGCCAATAGTTCAGCTCTAAGGAGGTTTCACGCTAGTTTTGAAGAACAATCTAATGATGCTTTTGTGTTAGATGGAAGTTATATGTATGTCAGATGTTGTGCCCATATCATTAACTTGATTGTGAAAAATGGTTTGGCTGAAGCAGATGATAGTGTAACTGTTGTGCGTAATGGGATTACATATGTTAGATCATCTACACCTAGGTTGAAGTCATTTGAATTGAGAGTGGATTTAGGAAAGATGACGAGAGGCAGTTTACCGTTGGATGTAACAACACGTTGGAATTCGATATTTACCATGTTGAATAAGGCTATTAAGTTCAAGGTAGCATTCCAGAAGATGGAGACAGAAGACAAGATGTACAATGATTACTTCATGGAGTTTCAGAATGGGGTAAAGAGGATTGGACCTGTTACTAGAACTGATTGGAGTGTTGTTGAAAGGTTAGAAAAATTGTTAATCATCTTTTATAACTCAACACTGGTTGTCTCAGCTTCTAGTTCTCTGAACTCCTTCAAGTGTTATGGTGAGATAGTGACTATAGAAAAAAATCTTATGAATAAGATGAATAGTCCTGATTCGGATTTGAGGGAGCAGGCTGAGGAAATGTTTCAAAAGTTTGATAAGTACTAGGAAGGAATGAAGGGAATCAATAAGATGTTGATTATAGTGACAATCTTTGATCCTAGGAAGAAGATGAAGTTTGCTAAGATGTGTTGGGAGCAACTCTATGGGGTAGATAGTACTGAAGGTAAGAAGATGAGTGAAGCGGTGTTCAAAGTTCTACGTGGCATGTTTGACGAGTACAAATCTCGTTTTGGCAAGGAGCCAAATCCAATTTCTTCTCAGTCTACTCCAACAACATCACAGTCACAGTCACAACAATCACAAGAGAAACTGGTATTGGTGGATGATGATTCAGGGTATGAAAGGATGGACTTCATGTACAATGACATGGTCGATGATATAGGAGTCCAAGACAGTGATGAATTAGACATATATTTGAAGGAGAGTGTTGTGAAAGGTTCAGCTATGAAAGGGACAGAGTATGATGTACTCTCTTATTGGAAGGTGAACACTGGAAAATTTCCTGTTTTAGCAGAAATGGCTCGGGATATATTTGCAATGCAAGTGTCATCTGTGGCATCCGAGAGTGCTTTTAACACTAGTGGTCGGATCATCACTCCTTATAGGAGTTGTCTAACTCATTATATGATTGAGGTTTTGATGTGCACAAAGCAGTGGTTGAAAGCAGAAATTCGGTTTAATGAATCAAAAGTGGTTACAAATGAACAAATCATGGAAGAATTTGAATATGAAAACAAGCTTAAGAGAGGTAATATTTTTTCTACTGTTTTCTATTTTAAATCATTTTTAAGTGTCTTACTAATCTGGTTCTCTTGACTTTTTCAGAGTATGACACTCCAATAATAAGAGAAGAATGATGTGAATCATTTGACAAATTGGGTGTAAGGTAACAAATTGTTTTGTTTCTATTATTTTATCAGTTTTTGTCATATTTACATTCATAGTTTGCTTATTATTACTTCTGATGTAATATAATTTTGATATTACAGAAAAATGAAAAAGGTGCTTTGGAATTCTTCATTTGCAAACTTTAATAATTTTTTCACATTTTCTTTGAACTTTGAGTTTTATTTCGATTTTTAAAACTTTTATTTGGGATTTTTTTTTCTTTCATGGTTTTTTATGTGGTTGTATGAATGGTTCAATCATACTCTGATACTGATTTTAGTGTTTATTTTGACCATTCATTTTCTTAAATTTCAGATATTATTTGTGTAATTCGGATATTTTTGAGCAAATTTGGTTACAATTCGGATACATATAACCGAAACACTCAAGAACCGAATCGGACCCGTTTGTAACCGAAATTTTTCGGATCAATATCGGTTTTTAAATATAATGGTAGAACCAACCTGAACCCGAATTATAACTACCCGAACCCGATCCGAAAATTAGAAATACCCGATTGGGGTTTTCAGCTCTATACCCGAAAATCCGATACCCGAAAGAACCGACCCGATCGGGTCCGGATTATCTGAACGCCCACCCCTACTACGATGTTATAAAATATGTATAGGAAAAAATATATTCACTCTTAGATAAACACATGCTTAATACAACCAAGTATATTAAAGCAACACTCTTACATATTAAACATGTGTTTTACGGCAGAATAAATATTTGTAAAATTAAAATTTATGTTTTTAATATTATTTTTGGATTTTAATTATTAAAGTTTAAAGTTTGAATGGTTAATTGTATATTTTTTTGTTAACTGTATTAATGTTTTTTAGTCAAAACAAATCCAAAGTTTATATTTTTAATATTCATGTTTTCTAGGTCCTTTGGAAAAAATAAAATTTAGACCCTAAAAATATTATTTTTTAATTTTTTGGGCATTTTCTATATATTTTTTGATAAATTTCGAATTTAAAACAAAAAAATAAGATAGTTTTAAAATTTTAAACAAAAATGAGTTTTTTAATAAGAAGGAAAACAAAATATTGGGTCTTTAATGAAAAGAATAACAAAAAATTAGGCATTTGATGATTTAATGAAAGAATAGATTTAATAAATTTGTATATATCTAATGAAAGTCCAATAACATATTAGGTAAATAACACAGTAAATAAAGATTATTTTTTAAACAGGGATTCTCTTTTAATATAATAGATAAATATATTTTCTATATACTTAATTAATAATATATATATTTTTTTCCATGGATTTTAGTTTGTGGGTTTGGTTTTACAAAGGTTAGTTTTGGTTCAGTATCAGGTAATTTTGTCTACAAATTTCTATTCATTGTTTTATAACTAGGTATTTATCCGTGCTATGCTGCAGATTATTTTTCTAAATTTTGTATATATTTTTAATATAATAAAATTATTTTTATAATATATATAAGTATTATATTTTTTTATTAACTTCAATTATATATATATATGTTTTTAATTTAAATAAACATTGTATATCCTTAATTTATTTATTTTTTGAAATTATAATTTGCTATTAAATTTGTTTAACTAACTAATTATATATGTATATGTAATAATAAAGCAATATTTTTTTGCAGTACCTTCATGCTAATGGCAAATGTAATCTATTTTCTCTAATAAATTGTCACTTGATCCTCTTTTGTAATTATATAAAGCAAAATGTCATTTTAAAAAAAGATTTATTAATTAATATGATTATCTTGAATTATAAAATTTATTTATCTATCAAATATTTATTATAAACATATGTTTTTGAAACCACCAAATTATAATCAATAACATTCATATCAAAACCATTGCTATTGCTTTAGAATTAAATAGAAAATTCTGTTTGAACTGTTTAAATATCGTTTAAGTTGAAGTTAAATAATTAAATTTTGGTTACTGTAAACATACTTTAACTTGAAAATTTAGCACAGAGAAATTTTATCTTCTTACAAAAATTGAGAAATCGTATTTACCATCAAAACCAAAAAACTTCATTTTTTCCATGAAACTTTGAAAACGCCTATTCTCGCCAAAACAAAAAAAATTAATTGTCTCGTCAAACCTAAAAGGCTAAAACCTAAAATTTCATTTTTCACGAGAACCTGTGTTTTCTCGCTAAAACCAAAAAAATTACGTTTTTTCACCAAAACCAAAAAAACTTATCTTCTTGCAAAAACCAAAAAAATCGTATTTTCTTGTCAAAACCGAAAAATTTATTTTCCTGCAAAAACCGAGAAATCTTCTATTCCCGCCAAAACCAAAAATTCATTTTCTCGTCAAACAAAGAATCACACTATCCTACCAAAACAAACAAATTACAATTTTCCGCAAAAACCAAAAAGTGCATTATCTTCCAAAAATTTGTGTTTTTCCGTAAAAACTAAGAAATTGCATTTTTTCGCGAAAACAAAAAAAAATCACATTATTCGTCAAAAACTGAAAATTTGCATTTCACATTTAAACCAAAAAATTGTTTATTCCCGCCAAAATCAAGAAATTTTGTTTTCCCATCAAACCGAAAATTGCATTTCCCGCCAAAATCATCAAATTCCAATTTTCCGTGAAAACTAAAAAACCATATTTTGCACAAAAACCAAGAAATCGCATTATCCGTCAAAAGCCAAAAATTTGCATTTCTTATTAAAATTGAGAAATCGTATTTTTGTCAAAATTGAAAAGTTGCATTTCTTATCAAAACCGAACATTTTCCCTTTAAAACTAAGATTTTTTTTTCCGTCAAAATTTTTTTTTTTTCTCACAAAAACCAAAAATTCACATTTTCTCGCTAAATCCGAGAATTCGCTTATCCGCCATAACCGAGAAATTATGTTTTGCTACCAAATCTAAAAATCATATTTTTCTACCGAAACCAAGAAATTCCCTATTCTCGGCAAAACAGATAAATTATCTTTTTCCGCCAAAGCCAAGAAAAATTATTTTCTCGTCCAACCGAGAAATCGTGTTTTCTTAACAAAACTGAGAAATTGCATTTTTCCGCCAAAATCGCCAAATTGTATTTTTCCGCAAAAACTGTGAAACTGTATTTCGTGTGAAAACCAAGAAATTGCATTATCCATCAAAAACAGAAAATTGTGTTGTCCATCAAAAAACAAAGATTTAATTTTTTTTTTATTTTTTGTTATTTATTATTTGGGCTTGAATTTGACAAAAAAATAAAATAAATATTTTTTTATTTACTGTTATTAGTTATTTGGGCTTGGGTTTAGTAAAAAATAAAACAAAGATTAATAAAAAAAGTATTCGGGTTTTTAATGAATTTAAATTTAAAAATTAAATTAAGTAGATGAGTTGTATTAATAAAATATTTTGATTGATGAATATTTTTGATGATGTGTCATCTTCAGAAAGCTTCAAAATGCTAATGTGTCATCTCTAGAAAATAAATTGATGTTATTGTTGTATTGATTAGGTTTGGGTCGGGTTCCGAAATATCGGTTATATAATTTTGATCGGAATTTCGCCCAGAACATTAAACCTAAAACAGAGACTTAGAGGCCAGACCTTTCATTTTGACAAGTTGCTGTTATACCAGTTGGTATGTGAATGATTCTCACAGCACTGTCCGTCGTGTTAGCATGCTGTCCACCAGCTCCTCCAGAACGGAACCGCTCTATCCGGAGATCCGAGTCATTGATCTGCACTCGGGTCGACCCGTCACCAAGAATCGGAATCACCGCAACCGCAGCAAACGAAGTGTGCCTCCGCTTCCCACTGTCAAATGGTGATATACGCACCAGCCTATGAACTCCAACTTCTGCTTTGGCGTATCCATACGCGTATTCACCGTTCACTTTGATTGTCGCACGCTGTTTCAAGACACATATCAATCATAAGCCAACGGTTCAAGATTTCAATTGCCATTAAACAAGAATATGAGATTTAGCCTATAGTGCAGTCTGATAGGTTCTTGCGTTAGTCTAGCGCAGTCTGATAAGGTCTGGTCTCAGTCTCGTGCAGGAGCATTGTAATTAGCCGTACTTGAATCAGTTAGCTAGAAAGATATATAACAAATTTGGGATTAGGAGTTGCCTAAGTCTCTTGCAGTTCTTGAATCTTGCTGAAGTGAATATAGAAATCAAACCTTGATTCCTGCAATCTCCCCAGGCATTTCATCAACCACGGTGACCGAGAATTTACGCCGTTGAGCCCAAGTTTTGTACATATCCATCACCATTGACGCCCAATCGTTGCTCTCTGTTCCTCCTGCTCCAGCTTGAACCTATCAAACCAAGATTTTCAATATGAACTCATAGAGACTAAAAAAAAACTCTTAATGCATGTTGTCTCCAAGTCACCTCGATGTAACACGAACAAGGATCGTTCTCCGCAGCTAACAAAGCCTCGAGTTCTTTCTCTTTCGAAACCCTTCTCATGTCCATCAATGCCTTCAAAGTTTCCTGCAGCAGAAAATGAATAATCAGATTGTGAAACTCCGAGAATCGTCGCTCTAAAGCTACAACGCCGGAAACAGAAACACATGCCTAGATTCTGAGAAAATGAGTGGAAACTCCCACCGATTCTAACTCTGAATCGTTCTCCTCTTTAGCGAGTTTCAACATGTCAATGTGTTCAAGCAGTTCTCTCTCGAAGGTCATAACTCCTTTCATTTTCCCCATTAGCGAGCCGTGCTCCCTGCTTATCTTACCAGCGTGGTCTGGATCATCCCATAGATCAGGCTTATTCAGCTCTAAAGATAACATTTTCAGCCTCACTAAGAGTTTTTTCCACTGCCAAAACCATAAACAAAACATGTAAAAACCTCAATAAGTCTAACAATGTCTTTATATCTAAGTCTAGACTCCATGAATGTAACAACGAGAAGCTTGCAAGCTTCAATAGCCTAACAATGTCTTTATATCTAAGTTTCAACTCCATGGATGTAACCGTGAGAAGCTTGCAAGTTTCAATAAGTCTAACAATGTCTTTAAATCTAAGTCTCAACTCCATGGATGTAACAATGAGAAGCTTGTAAGTTTCAATAGCCTAACAATGTCTTTAAATCTAAGTCTCAACTCCGTGGATGTAACAATGAGAAGCTTGTAAGTTTCAATAGCCTAACAATGTCTTTATATCTAAGTTTCAACTCCATGAATGTAACAATGAGAAGCTTGCAAGTTTCAGTTTTTTTTAACCTGTAACCGTCGCTTGATGACTTGTATAGACTAACAATGTTTTTCTACCTAAAGTCGCAACTCCATGAATGTAACAATGAGAGAAGCTTGCAAGTTTCAGTTTTTTTAACCTGTAACCGTCGCTTGATGACTTGTATAGACTGTGAAATTGCTGCAGCGTGGCTCTTCCAATCACTCTCGTTCTCATCTAAGATCGGCCATTGATTCGCTATGATACGTTCTACAGTAAGTCCGTCACAAGTTGCAGCCACAGATACAGCCTCTGAGCTCAATGGTCTAGTCGTAGAGACAAAGCTGTTCCCAGGATAAGCAAAGTTACCAAAATTCGGATTCATATGAGAGATTTTTCCTGATTCGAATCCGAAAGATGTGGTTTTGAAGCTTCTTGTTGAAATTGAGGAGATCCCAGAAGGCGAAACTGAATCATTGGAATCTGCATCAGAGAGGGAGTTATATGATGAAAAAATACTTCTGATTTTGCTTCTGTGAGTTTGCCAGAGAAAGACGGATCTGCTTCGTGATGTTTTGATTAGTACCGATGACATTTCTGATTTCACCGCTGTATCGAGATTGATCGAGAAGAGAGACCTTTTGATTTCGAATCGATTCTTTTGTGTCAGCCTAGGGTTTGTGGTTTATCAGAAAGTCGAAAACGGTGTCATATTGACAAACCGTAACTAATAAAAGCAAACCGAACCGAACCGAACTTAAAATAATTAAAACCTAAACCAACCCGAAATTGATTGTAATTATTTGATTTAATTTTTTGATACTGGAAAATTTACGTTTTGTTTTTGTGTAACCAAATGATAAACCGAAATTCATTAAAATTAACATATCTGCAAAATTTATGTATGACATAGATTGTACACTGTATTACTAGGTTTATAATTCGCACTACGCTTGAGTGTGTATTAATAGTTTAGTTTAATTTTTTTTAAAGTATTATCTTGTAAATTATCAAAACTATAATAGACTTGTAAAAAAAATTTTTTATATAAGAGAAATTAAAATATAATTTATAAATGTTAAATTTTATTATGTGAAATAATAACAATAACACCTATCAAATTATCCAACTTTGACATACACATACGTTTGATTTAGAAAAATATTTTTTTGCTAAGATCTTTGTATTTTGTTTTGGTTTTCATAGGATTTCTACAGTTCTATTTCTTTACAGTTTATGTATTTAAATATTTAGTTTTTTTATTGAATGCGATGTTGTGTACATATGCATTTATAATCCATGATTCATGTTGATTCGCATTTAGTTTTGTTAAGAAGTTGCAATTATCATGCAAAGTCATTTCTTCCTTCTTCACCAGGTCATCCATGAGTTTTAGCTTATATCTTTATTCAGTTTTCATCGATATCTATTTTTTGCAGTCTAATATTTGATAATTTTAGTTTTTATACATGTAGGATCGGCGGTGTGGAGTCTTTGCATTATTTTTATTATTTTTATCTTTTGTGTACAATCTGTATGCTTTGATTTGAATATTTTATCTACAAATGCTAATTTGAGTTTGATTCATAACTCTCTCATATTTTATTATTTAGATAGAATTTTAGGATGTGTTACTCATATGTTATTAATGTTGGTTCAGATATAAATAGTGACTATGTATAAAAATCAGATTTTAGAACTTGTTAAATTTTGAATGTAAAGTTATTTATGTTGTGTTTTTTTTTGTTAGTCTTTAAAATCTGAAACACTCAGTGTATTAATCATTGTATATTTTACTCTTGTAAACCTATTGCAACTTTAGATAGTTATTTATTGTTAAATTATAAAAAATTTGAAATTAATTTAAAATTAATTTTGTTATAATTTTTTTATATACTTTACATCTTTTGATAGTAATTTTATATTTTATTTTTATTAATATAATTTGTTTTTGTATGTTTGATATACTTAGAACTTATATTTGTTTTTATTAAGCTCTTTGTTGTTTCTAACAAAATAGGCAACATAAACATCAAGTTAATTTCTTTTATACGAATGTTTTTCTTTGTTAAATTTGTTTTTAATATTAATTTCATTTTAGTTATAATGCTAATTTAACATGTTGTAAATGTTCAATTTAAGTTTTTATGAACTTTTCTCAAAATTTTATAGCATCATTTTTTTAGTTAAGTTTTTTATGTTGATTATTAAAAATATTAGCTCAAATATCAAGTTAGTAAATTATAACATGTTGAAAGCTAAAAATAAACAGAAATATTTATAAAAATGTTATAAAAATGTTATGAAAATGTTATAAATATTTATGTTTTTATAACATTTATAAAATTTAAATAAAAACAATTGAAATATAAATTTATAATATATTGAAAGCTAAAAAATCTTTTTATAAAAACATTTTTAATTTCTCATCATATTATAATAGCTTTAAAACAGTTTGGTTTGATATTTAAAAAATTCACAACAGATAGAGTAAAACCTCTATAAATTAATAATGTTGGAACCTCAAAAATTTATTAATTTATAGAGTTATTAATTAATCGATAAATTAATAATTATTAATTTATCGAAAAATTAATATTTTATTAATTTATAGAGAGATATTTGAGTTCCAATTCAAAATATTTGTCAAAAAACAAAAAAAATATCAATAATGTAAAATTTGTTCAGAAAATATTATTTCAGTAAATTTGAAAAATAAGTCAAACAATTTTTATAAACTTGAAACAATAATATAATTATATTTTACTATATTATATTATTTATATATTTTTAAATATATAATTATTAATTTATCTAATTATTGGGACTATATTTTTACATAGGAGTTTCAAAAAATTATTATCTTATTATCTTATCGAAATTTGCTAATTTTTATACTGACCCGAATTGGGACCGGCAAAAACTATTAATTTATAGTGATTATTAATTTATCGAGTATTAATTTATAGAGGTTCTACTGTAATTAAAGTATGACAGTTATATGCATGAGAGTGTACTTACCATGTCAAATAGTCAGTAGTTGCTTAAACATTTTTTTCGAAAAAACTAAACATAATCATAAATATTTATAAATTTTATAAATGTTATAATTTATGTTTCAAAAATTATAAATTTTCTTTCAACATGATAAGTTATATTTTTATTTTTATATCATCCAAATCCATTTCTTCGAACTTGGTATGAAATGATGATATAATTTTTATACAAATATTTATCTGGATAAAATATAAAATTATAGCATGAATAAATAATTTGTCATTGTATATTATCAGTCGACTTATTACCGGGATAAAATAATGTAATTAATATTATTTTCACAATGGCAAACTATTATTAGAAACTTGTAAACCTTATTTAGCGCGTAACTTCTTTATTGTTTCCATAGATCTTTAGCCACTTACTACAATATTCTTCTTCATTCGTCTCTAGATATTCCCAAGTTATTCTCGTGGTCTCTATAGGCACTCTCTAATTTCAAATTAATTTTATTTAATTTATTTTTTTGATACTTTGTATCATTTGATAGTAATTTTATATTTTATTCTAATTTATACAATTTTTTATATACTTGATATACTTAGGACTTATTTTTATTTTATTAAGCTCTTTTGTTATTGATTTTTAAAATATATAGCATATACATCAAGTTGATTTCTTTTATACGAATGCTTTTTTGATAAATTTATTTTTATATTAATTTTCAAGTTAATTTTTTTTTTTAGATATTAAGTTAATTTTCTTTTACGATATTGATTTTTGTTTTGTTAGTTTAACTCTTTTGACATTAAATTTCCATTTAAATTTGAACGATACTATATTTTAGTTTTTTTAACATAATTTTCTTCTTTATTTGTTACTTAAGCATTTTTATTATGATTTTTCCATCTATAACACAAAATTAATGTTTTTTTTTTGTAAATTAATTTAGAAGTTAGAAATTTTTTTAATGTATATTATAAGTTTTAGCTTTAACGTTATTTGTTTTTTTGTTAGGTTAACTCTTTTGACATTAAATTTCCATTTAATTTTGAAGGATACTATATTTTAGTTTTTTTAACATTAATTTTATTTCTATTTGTTACTTAAGGTATTTATTTTGATTTGTCCATATATAAAACGAAACTAATGTTAAAAAAATGGAAATTAATTTTGTAATGTTTTAAACAAATTTAACATTTGTATGTTTAATAAAAAACGCTAATGTGGACCAATCATATTGAGTTTTTTCATCTTAATCATACTTAACATTTTTGTGATTAATAAAAAATGATGATGTGGACCTATCAGATTGAGTTCTTTGTCCTATGTGGACGTCCTCAATGCACTATGTCATCAACTTTTATATACTAGGTTTATAACTCGCGCTACGTGCAAGTATTTATTAATAGTTTAGTTTATTTTTCTTTAAGGTATTATCTCGTAAATTATCAAAACTATAATAGATTTATATAAAAAAAAAATATTTTATATAAGAGAAATTAAAATATAATGTGTAGTTTTTCCCTATTTTTATTTATAAAGTTTTAAATTTTATTATGTGAAATAATAACAGTAACACTTATCAAATTATCCAACTTTGACATACACATACGTTTGATTTAGAGAAATGTTTTTTTTGCTAAGATCTTGGTATTTTGTTTTGGTTTTCATAAGATTTCTGCAGATCTTTTTTCTTTAAAGTTTATGTGTTTAAATATTTAGTTTTTTTATTGAATGTGATGTTTGTGTACATATGCATTTATAATCAATGATTTATGTTGATTCACATTTAGTTTTATTAGGAAGTTGCAATAATCATGCACATCCATTTCTTCCTTTTTCACCAGGTCATCCATGAGTTTTAGTTTATATCTTTATTCAGTTTTCATTGAGATCTATTTTTTGCAGTCTAATATTTGATAATTTTAGTTTTTATACTTGTAGGATTGGCGTTGTGGAGTCTTCACACTATTTTTTACTATATTTATCTGTTGTGTGCAATTTGTATGCTTTGATTTGAATATTTTATATATACATACTAATTTGAGTTTGATTCATAAGTCTTTCATACTTTATTATTTAAATAGAATTTTAGAATATGTTACTCATATGTTATTAATGTTGGTTCAGATATAAGTAGTGACTATGTATAAAAATCAGATTTTAGAACTTGTTAAATTTTGAATGTATGGTTATTTATGTTGTATTTTTCTTAGTTAGTTTTTAAAATCTGAAACATCCAGTGTATTAATCATTGTATATTTTACTTCTGTAAACCTATTGCAACTTTAGATAGTTATTTATTGTTAAATTATGAATTTTTTGAAACTAATTTCAAATTAATTTTGTTATAATTTTTTATATACTTTACATCTTTTGATATTAATTTTATATTTTATTTTTATTTATATAATTTATTTTTGTATGTTTGATATACTTAGGACTTATATTTGTTTTTATTAAGCTCTTTTGTTGTTTCTAACAAGTTAATTTCTTTTATACGAATATTTTTTCTTTGTTAAATTTGTTTTTATATTAATTTTATTTTAGTTATAATACTCATTTAACATCTTTTAACTGTTCAAGTTAACTTTTGTATGAACTTTTCTCAAAATCTTATAGCATCATTTTTTAAGTGAAGTTTTTTTGTGTTGATTATTAAAAATCTTGGCCCAAATATCA